TCTGCTTGGTAACGAACTTCATTCTATTAAACCGAGCATAGGTTACCGGCCGTCTTCTTGTCATCAGTGCCGTGGTTGGGAGACCACTCTCTCCCGCCTTCGCATTGGCCACACTCATCTTACTCACGGGTATCTCATGGAGAGGCACCCTGTTCCTCTCTGTGAGCAGTGTCAAGTTCTAGTATCGATTAGCCACATTCTGTTAGACTGCCCTCTCTATCAACGAGCACGCAGAATTTACCTCCAACGCCGTCTTCGTTCTACTATCTCTTTACCTTCCCTTCTTGCTGATGGACCCTCCTTTAACCCTGACTCTCTCATTGACTTCTTGACAACGACTGATTTACTCCACAAACTCTGATGATGATACCTTACGCACTCCCCTCAGCCCTTTCTAGCTCAGTCTCTTGCTGCCCTTTACCCTTTCACCATCCACTGCCCCGCTGTTATCCGTAACCTATTACTCATCCACCTCCCTTTTGCCACCTGATGCCCTCGCTTCCTTCCTGCCCTGCAGCGCTGTATAGCCCTTGTGGCTTAGCGCTTCTTTTTGATTATAATAATAATAATAATCACCGAGTCTCATTAAATGTCATATATTACGTTAATATACACATTTTCATTAATCCATCTATGATATTTTTTTCAAAATTATATAATAAACACGATACATAACATATAAAGATGATAAATACACCCCACAATAGAATAAGTTAGTTAGTTAGTTTAATATGTTTATTATGCACCCCATACCCATCCTGTGGGCGGTAGTCAAAAGATTACAGAGGTACATAATTGGTCCAGGGACTGAGCCTCAAAGTTTTGATAGCTGAGCAAGTTACAGAGGTAATGAATTCACAATTTACAAAGGTAATGAACTCACAATTTACAAAGGTAATGAACTCCAGGTAGGTCTAGTCACAATCATGACAAGTTACAAAGGTATTCACAGATTACAGAGGTACACAATGGGTCCAGGGACCGGGCTCCAAAGTTTTGATGGCTGAACTAGGTACAAGGTAATGAACTCACAAGTTACAAAGGTAATGAACTCACAAGTTACAAAGGTAATGAATACTGTAAGAATGGTTACTTATGTTTATACATGGCTGCAATCATGAAAAAATTTTAGAGTAATGAGCAATTCACACTTCCACACCCGGTCACAACTGTAGTGAGTTATTGGTGCAAATGTTGATTGCTGAGTCTCTCTCACACACACACACACACACACACACACACACACACAACTCATACACACACACGCACACACAACTCATACACACACACACACACTCATACACACACACCTCATACACACCACACACTCATACTCACACACACACAACACACACACAGGTATAAGAAACTTCCTGCAGGAGGTTAGCTGGGACAGAGAAAATGGTAGGAAAATCAGTAAACGAGATGATGGAATATGTGGCAACAAAGTGCAAGGAGGCAGAGGAAAGTTTTGTTCCCAAGGGAAACAGAAATAATAGGAAGACCAAAACGAGTCCTTGGTTTTACCCGAAGGTGTAGGGAGGCAAAAACCTAAGTGCAACAGAGATGGAAAAGGTACAGGAGGCATAGGACCCAGGAAACAGGGAGATTGTAGAAGAGCCAGAAACGAGTATGCGCAGATAAGGAGGGAGGCCAGGGGACAGTATGAAAACGACATAGAATCAAAAAGTCAAATCTGACCCGAACTGCTGTATAGCCACTTTAGGAGGGAAGACAACAGTCAAGGCCCAGGGGGATAAGGCTGAGGAAAGAAGGTGGGGGAACTCACAAGAAAGGGATAAAGAGGTTTATGTGAGGAGCTCAACACGAGATTTAAGGAAGTATTTACAGTAGAGACAGGGAGGAAACTCTGGGGGGACAGACCAGATGGGGACACCAACAAGGAATACACCAACAAGTGTTTTGGGCGACATACATACAGATGAGGAGGAGGTGAAGAAACTGCTAAGGGACATCGATACCTCAAAGGCAATGGGGACCGGACAACATCTCTCCGGGGTCCTTAGAGAGGGAGCAGATAAATTTTTGTGCGTACCACTTACCACAATCTTCAACACATCCCTGGAAATGGGCAACTACTGAGGTATGGAAAATGGCAAATGTAGTTCCCATTTTCAAAAAAGGAGACAGAAAAGAGGCACTAAAAATATAGACCTGTGTCATTGACGTGTAAGTATGCAAAATTATGGAGAAGATTATCAGGAGGAGGTGGTGGAGCACCTGGAAAAGGAACAGGAGTATAAATGCCAACCAGCACGGATTCACGGAAGGCAAAACCTGTGTCACAAACCTTCCCGGGGTTTTATGATAAAATAACAGAAGTAAAACAAGAGAGAGAGGGGTGGGTTGATTGCATCTTCTTGGACTGCAAGAAGGCCTTTGACACAGTTCCCCACAAGAGATTAGTGCAGAAGCTAGAGCATCAGGCGCATGTAACAGGGGAAAGGGGACTGCAATGGATCAGAGAATACCTGACAGGGGAGGCAACAACGAGTCATGGTACGTAAAGATGTATCACAGTGGGCACCTGTGACGAGCGGGGTCCCACAGGGGTCGGTCCTAGGACCAGTGCTATTTTTGGTATATGTGAACGACATGACGGAAGGGTTAGATCAGAAGTGTCCCTGTTTGCAGATGATGTGAAGTTAATGAGGAGAATTAAATCTGATGAGGACCAGGCAGGACTTCAAAGAGACCTGGACAGACTGGACACCTGGTCCCGCAAATGGCTTCTCGAATTTAATCCTGCCAAATGCAAAGTCATGAAGATAGGGGAAGGGCACAGAAGACAACAGACAGGAGTATAGGCTAGGTGGCCAAAGACTGAAAACCCTCACTCAAGGAGGAAAGATTTTGGGGTGAGTATAACACCGAGCATGTCTCCGGAAGCACACATCAATCAGATAACTGCTGCAGCATATGGGCGCCTGGCAAACCTGAGAACAGCATTTCCCGGGATTACCTTAGTAAGGAATCATTCAAGACACTGTACACCGTTGTATGTCAGGTCCAAAATGGGTTTTGCAGCACCTGTTTGGAACCCGCCTGATAAAGCACGTCAAGAAAACTAGAGAAAGTACAAAGGTTTTGCAACAAGGTTAGTTCCAGAGCTAAGGGGAATGTCCTATGAAGAAAGATTAAGGGAAATCGGCCTGACGACACTGGAGGGACAGGAGGGTCAGGGGAGACATGATAAGGGACATAATAAAATACTGCTTTGGAAATAGACAAGGTGGACAAGGACAGGATGTTCCAGGGAGGGGACACAGAAACAAGAGGCCACAATTGGAAGTTGAAGACACAAATGAGTCAGAGAGATAGTAGGAAGTATTTCTTCAGTCATAGAGTTGTAAGGCAGTGGAAAAAGCCTAGAAAATGACGTTGTGGAGGCAGGAACCATACACAGTTTTAAGACGAGGTTTGATAAAACTCATGGGGCGGGGAGAGAGAGGGCCTAGTAGCAACCGGTGAAGAGGCGGGGCCAGGAGCTAGGACTCGACCCCTGCAACCACAAATAGGTGAGTACAAATAGGTGAGTACACACACACACACACATGCACATATGTGGTAATGCTTTATTTACAGCTAGCAAAGTCAGGGTATTTCTCCAGAATGGTCTGTAATATACCACTGTGGATAAAATACTTAGCCATTTCTTGAACACTTCTGAGTGAGTTGTTTCTAAATTCATTAATTTTATCACACTCCAGTACATAATGACGCAAGGTGTGACAATAATCGTAATATGAGATGTATATAAAGATGATAAATACACCCCACAATAGAATAAATAAACATAAATATGAGATGTCGTAGCCAGATAACTTGTACAAATGATGGCAAGAATAACATTTTCTCTAGTCTAACATAAGAGAAAATGTGTAACTGGGGGTAACTGTAGAAAATTATTCCTTTACGTATGTAAGTTTATTCAGGTATACACAAATACAGTTACATAGATTATCATGCATAACAGCATATGTGTAGAGAACCTGGGATAACCCAAAAAAGTCAGAGAGTGACTTATTTCCATTGCCTTCACTCAGAGCATCATTTCTTCTAAAAATGGTGTTACATGAGAATGGGCGTGTTCTTCTTTATTTATTCTACCGTATCAATGTAGAGACAACTTGTACACAATGTAACTTGTACACAAACCAGATGTGTACACTTTGTTTGTTGACTTGGTCCCACCTTATGTTTTTGTTATTGAAGTTGAATTTGGTGAAGGTTTCCTCGTGACTGATCACATTTTGTTGGTCTGGGGCCCTGCTGCACATACATGTCTAAACCTCTATTATGTTGTGATCAGAGTATATTGTTTTTGATATGGTAATATTTCATATCAGATCATCATTGTTAGTGAAGATGAGGTCCAGTGTATTCTCCAATCTTGTTGGCTATTATTTGCTGGTTTAAGGAGAATTTGGTACAGAGATTTAAAAGCTTGTGTGTGTGAGAGTTTTCATCTGAGCTGCATCCTGAAGTTATCTCTGCTACAGCATTATTTGCTACATTCCTCCATTTTAGGTGCCTTAGGTTGAAATCCCTCAGGAGCAAGATTTTTGGGGCAGGAGCTCTAAGATTTTCCAGATAGTGGTCTATTTTCAGAAGATGTTTCTGGAATTGTTAGGAAGTTGCATCCGGAGGCTTGTATACAACCACAATGACTAGGTTTTGGTTCTCAGTCTTTACTGCCAAAACTTCAACCACATCATTTCAGGTGTTTAGTAGTTCCGAGCATATCAGTGACTCTGTGACGGAAAGGCCCCCCCCCCCCATTCCCCCTTTTGTCAATTCACTCTGTCACATCTGTATAGGTTATAACCCGGATTGACAGAAACCCACTACCATTATAGTATGCTCCTCACTTAGTGACGAATTCACTTACCGATATGGTCTTAGGAAGGGAACTCTGTCATTAACTGAGGAGAGGCTGTAGTAAAATTTATAATAGTGACAGAAAACAAATAACAGTATTACAATTAGTATAATTTAATAATGGGAATGGTTTTATCTTGGCATGCTACAATGTTTCTACACTGTCGAAAGCTCCTATATAAGCAGAGCATTTCAGGCAAACTTAGGACTAACTTAAGACTAAATAATGCAATAATAATATGAATTTTATGTTTACAGTCATTTGAGCGAGTTTACAATGAACAGAAGAGAACTGAATATCTTATTACTTTATGCTATATGGCTTTATCATGTTTTGGCTGAGAGGGATTACAGGTTTAATAACAATTATTTAATGTTTGGAAGAATTACAGATAATGAGAGTAAGTCTGTTTTGTTTTGGATGTGTTCATGACATTGAAAATAAGCATATGTTGTTTTCACATAATTAGCTAATTGTGCCAAATTCCTCAACTATATTGTAATTGCAAAATACTGTAGGTCAATCCAGTGTGTCCCAGCTGCAAGGTCACTAGTTTGGTTACTAGGACTTACCCAATTTGTTACTTAAATGATATATCGAGAGTTTCATTTCATAATCATCCCTCCTGCAAATGTTCCAAACTACATTGTTACTTACAACTGTTTTACTCTGTATAGTGCCCTCTCTCAATATTAAGTACTTGGTAGTCCAGCCCTCTAAGTGATGTAATACTTGTTTTCCACAAGAACAAACTCGTACTGATAAACACCTGTTTCCAATATAGGATGGAGGGACAGTACATAATGTCTTATTGCTGGTCCTTAGGGTTGCTTAACAAGCCCCTAGTGTCAGTCATTCACAAATTTGAGAAGCAAAAATTAATTAATGGTAGTCATATGGTTAACTAATACAGTGGACCCCCAGTTAATGATATTTTTTCATTCCAGAAGTATGTTCAGGTGCCAGTACTGACCGAATTTGTTCCCATAAGGAATATTGTGAAGTAGATTAGTCCATTTCAGACCCCCAAACATACATGTACAGAAGCACTTACATAAATACACTTACATAATTGGTCGCATTGGGAGGTGATCATTAAGCGGGGGTCCACTGTATTCAAACAACCTAGCAAATATCTAGGTGTAATAAATGAAAAAAATTAACCTCTAGGTTTTTATTATAAATCTTGAGTTTATGCTACTGCATCTGTACTTCCACCAGTACCAGTCAATGGCAGAAAAACCCTTGCCCATATATAATGGTATTACTTCTGGACACAACTGTCATCAGATATATCAACAGTATTCCTGGTGGGGTAATAATACTTCTTCAGAGGCGAGTCTTAGGTTTATCGGGTAATGGTACAGGCACTATGTTGTAATGCTTGCCTAGCCAGGTCTACCAGCCTGACAAGAGAGAGAGAGAGAGAGAGGAGGTAGTTCTTGGTGATTCATTGTCTGGTGCGTGAGAGAGATACAAGGTCTGGTGAACTCAGGTCTAGGTTAGAACTAAGCCCACCAGGCAGCAGCACTAGGCCTAGTGGCATTACAGTAAACCACAAATCCCAAGAGCAGTTACACTGCTCGGGCACACTACCCATGATCGTCCCAACCATGAGAAATGATTGAATAAAACTCTTGTAGCAACAGGGTGCTACTACGACTACAATCAAAACTAAGCACTAACCAAGGAATATTATTATTATAATCAAAAAGAAGCACTAAGCCACAAGGGCTATACAGCTAACCAAGGAATATGGCAGTGTCATGGGCATTAGCATGAAATGCAAAACATGTGTACAGTGAACACAAAATTAACCAACAGTTCAAATCTAGTTAAGAATTAACTACGATTTTTAGTAAGACCTTTCTGTCAGGGTGCCTTAATGCTGGTGTCAAAGACTTATTTCCACTTTCCACATGATACAATGTTTATAGAGATGGGTATACAAACCACAAATTTAGGCATTACAAATAGAACAAGCAAGCAAATAACTATTTCTTTAAAATTGAATTATGATTACAAGTAGTGTGAATAAGAATACACGTACATATAAAGTTTTTTAACGTTTGTGGTTGAAACAATTGTGTAACATTTAATTGTTGCTAGAATATATTAGAGAAAGGTAGCTTTGAAGCTGTCGGTTGATAAGAGGCTCTTGAGTTTTCAGGTAGGAAGTTCCAGATTTTGGGTCTCTTTATGCACACTGAGTGTTTACAAACTTGATGTGCATACAAGGACATTTTCCCAGACACAGGAAATGTCATGAGATTTTTGTGTCTAGCATTATTCCAATGAGTTCTGTTGAAAGTACCAAATGAAGCTTTGATCTACAGAATTGGAGATATCTTTCCCTTCCTCAGATCAAATCTAATTATCTCCCATTCCCCAGGTGCTGTATGACTCCCACGGGTTTAGTGTTTTTCCACAAACAAGCTAGAATTAGCGTAGTAAGAGTTTGAACGTTCTTGTGACTGCCCCCAACTGTAGGGTGGAGTGTATCCAAGACAGAGCTCTGCTCGCATGCGATTCACAACAGTAATGGTGCTAGCAAAGCGGTGGAAAAACAATGATGGTAGAGACGATTGTTTGTTCTTTCTCTTGATGCCCTAAAAGAGAACAGGTGAAGGCCCAGAGGCTAGCAAGCATTATCATGAAAGAGACTATCCAGTAAGAGAGATTCTTTGAAGGAAGAAGACCTAAGGGTAGGAGAAAAGGTTCAGCCAGCCCTTGTAGGTTGTTTGGTGGGGTATCATCTGACACATATACAGGTAGCCCACCACATCGTCTCATGCCCTCATTATCTCCAGAGACCAAGTGTAGCAGAGCACACACATGAGCCACAGCCACGTTACCTGGAACATGCAACGTATAAATAAGTGATGAAACTCTAGCCCTGACAATGCATAAGCTAGATGATAACTACCCTAGATGATTCATCATCATGGCCTGCAAAATTCAGTGTGCAGGGGTGTTCAAACGCCTGCAAAATTCAGTGTGCAGGGGTGTTCAAACTAAGGTAGAGACTGACCTCCATTGAGAAAGATGAATAATGATACTTCTAATACAAACAGCACTTATAATTGTGCCAACTACTGTCTTTCCAACTTTTTTTTATCACAGCATCTTCTAGAGTATACTTACTTGCAAAATACGTACAACGTTACAAGAAAAGTGTGAACTACTGGTATGTGTACTGACAGTGATATCCATATCTGCTTTTTGAATGCTCTGCAGCTCCGAGGGGGAACATAAAAATATTTTGAATATGTTTTGATAATGATACTGATCAATCTTTTATTTCTACAAAATACAATATACATTTCATTTATAAATAGTTGAAATTGCTGACATACTTTACAGAAAGCCTCTGGATATACAGAGCATTTCAGGCTGCCTTAAAATTAACTTGTAACTGCTGGATGATTTATTATGTAATGTGGTTTGCAAGAGTGCTAAAGTTTGCAATCATTGACACTAATATTTTTATAAGATAAAGATTTTATAAGTCATCTCATGTGGACTGTGATAATATGACTAATTTCCTTGAAAAATTAACATTCCATGGCAAAATAAAAAAAATTGTAGGTAGATTTTTCAAATACGATCAACTCTCGATTTTAAGGACTGACTATTAAGTCCAGAATTGTGTAGCACTAATGAACAATTTTGATTTAGTGGACTTTGTCAATTAAATCCGAAATTAATTTACCCAGCAGACTATATGCTGCAAGTAGTAAATTTTGGCCTAGACATGAGAGAATGTGTGTGTGCAGTGGATGTGCACAGTATAACAGAAATCCTGCTCCATGCAGTGCATGATGGAAACAGTTGACCTTTGACCTTGTGTTTGGATTAAAATAGTGATTGAGGTGTGTTCTAAGCTGGATTTCATGTTTTTATTGGCTATTTCTTGGTGTCAGCACATGGAAATGATTTTGGTTACATTTAGACTGGAAATGGACTGAAATAGGTCTGAAAGTAGCGGAAAATATTTGATTTCTGTTTTATGAGTTATTACTTGGTCTGCTTCAATTTGGATGGCCTAAGCTATGACAAGTCATTCTCAGTTATGTTTTAAGCTGAGAAACAGGGCAAAACTTCAATTTATTGTGTGATAATGGATTCAAAATGGAGGACAAGTGTTCTATAAAAGAGGCCTGGGGGATGTGATTAATTAACAAAGGAAAGTTTGCTTTAGTGACTGGAGTATTTACTTTGGATTCTGTTTTTAAATTGGAATCTGTTGAATTTTGCATAAAATTGGCCAAATTACCAACTACTGGGCATTTTGTAGGATAGTTCTGATGAATGCACAGTTTCTTGTGATCAATTAATATAACCTTTATCAATACGTATATCAATATCAATATAACCTTTATCAATATAGAGTAAGAATTAGTATTAGTCTGCCCGAAGTGCCTAGGCATGAATATTGGCCATCTTTGTAATTAATATCTTATAACATGTAAACCACACATTGTAAGCTTTACAAGGAAATAAATATTTGAATCTGAATTTGAACAGAAGGCATAGTGAAATAGCCAGGAATTAGGTTGATCTCAAACTGGGCGAAACTACTGTTGCTCCCCGACCTCCAACTTTGCACCTACATAATTCCATAAGTTTTCCATCAAATTTTGCATTTTTGGTGTCATTTAGAAAAAGATTCTCTACTATTTTAAAAGTTTTTTTTTAAATAGTAACACTGGCAGTACTTTTAATTTTGACGGGTCACTGTCTGGTTTCTGAATGTTGTCTGACCACAAATTTTTGTCTATTAAATCTGGAATATGTTAAATCTAAGTTTTACCAGTAACTTGAAATTTCAGCCTACTGGTTGTGCTAGACCAGTCACAAGGTGATCATACCTCTTTTGTATTTACTAAGCTCCTAATTGTTTCCTATAATGTACTATAATTTCTTCACATCAATACTGCTTGCAATTCTCATAACTTCTAAATTGTTACAAATATAAAATTAACAGTGTAATAAATGTAATGAGTAATAACTGGAGTAGCTCTCAGACCCATAGTGACCTTCATTTCTTTAGGTTTGTTGTCAGTCCGATTCTTTTCACTTTTTTACTGAAAGCGTACCTATGTGGGAATATGATAATATAGAAATTTCATGCTGATAGCCTTGAAAATAAAAAACTTTCTTAGGTATGACAATACTTGTGTATGCACACATGAAAATCTCTCCTAACACTTGTTCAAAATTCTGAAGAACTAATGAGTTCTAGGGCCTTTTTTATTTTTTTAATCATTAAAATTAAATCAAGCTCAGTTTTGCCTTACCCACATAGGCAGCCTGGAGGAAGGCTTCTGGGTTACCCACAGAGGGAATCCTGCTGCCACCAGCCCTGGCCAGTGACAACAACAGTGGCACAAAAGTAGTGTCACCCTCACCATAGATCAATGGTGGCCTTAGCACCATTGTTTGCAGTGTTGCTCCTGAGAGAGAGAGAGAGAGAGTCACACCTATTGCCTCACAATCTTCACAATACACATGCAGTGTAGCAACCAGCATATGGCTGTAAGTATAATTATCTACTTGCATTTTTTTTCAACACGTCGGTCATCTCCCACCGAGGCAGGGTGACCCATAAAAAAAGGAAATCCCAAAAAAGAAAAGTATTTTCATCATCATTCAACACTTTTACCTCACTCATATATAATCACTGTCTTTGCAGAGGTGCTCAGATACGACAGTTTAGAAGTCCCTCCAAACTGCCAATATCCCAAACCCCTCCTTTAAAGTGCAGGCATTGTATTACCCAAAAACCATTTGTCTCCATTCACTCCTATCTAGCATGCTCACACACGCTTGCTTGAAGTTCAAACCCCTCACCCACAAAACCTCCTTTACCCCCTTCCTCCAACCTTTTTGAGGACGACCCCTACACCGCCTTCCTTTCCCTACAGATTTATACGCTCTCCAAGTCATTATACTTCGATCCATTTTCTCTAAATGACCAAACCACCTCAACAACCCCTCTTCAGCCTTCTGACTAATACTTTTAGTAACTCCATACCTCTTAATTTCCACACCCCAAATTCTCTACATAATATTTACACCACACATTGCCTTTAGACAGGACATCTCCACTGCCTCCAGCTGCTTTCTTGCTGCAGCATTTGCAACCCAAGCTTCACATCCAGAGTGTTGGTACCACTATACTTCTGTACATTCCCTTCTTTGCCTCTATGGATAACGTTTTTTTGTTTCCACAGATACCTCAATGCACCACTCACCTTTTTTCCTTCATCAATTCTATGGGTAACCTCATCCTTCATAAACCCATCCATTAACAAGTCAACTCCCAAATATCTGAAAACATTCACTTCTTCCATACTCCCTCCAATGTGATATCCAATTTTTCTTTATGTAAATCATTTGATACCTTCATCACCTTACTCTTATCTATGTTAACTTACAACTTTCTACCTTTACACACCCTCCAAAGCTCGTCCACTAACCTTTGCAACTTTTCTTTAGAATCTCCCATAAGCACAGTATCATCAGCAAATAGTAACTGTGTCAACTCCCATTTTGTATTTGATTCCCCATAATTTAATCCCACCCCTTTCCCCAACACCCTAGCATTTACTTCTTTTACAACCCCATCTATGAATATATTAAACAACCATGGTGACATTACACATCCCTGTCTAAGACCTACCTTTACCGGGAAGTAGTCTCCCTCTCTTCTACACACCCTAACCTGAGCCTCACTATCCTCATAAAAACTCTACAGCATTTAATAATTTACTACCTATTCCATACACTTGCAACATCTGCCACATTGCTCTCCTATCCACTCTATAATATGCCATTTCTAAATCCATAAATGCAATGAAAACTTCCCTACCTTTATCTAAATACTGTTCACATATATGCTTCAATGTAAACACTTGATCTACACATTTTCTACCCACTCTAAAGCCTCTTTGCCTATCTGCAATCCTACTCTCTGTTTTACATCTAATTCTTTCAATAATATATCTACCGTACATGTTACCTGGTGTACTCAGTAAACTTATTCCCCTATAATTTTTACAGTCTCTTTTGTCCCCTTTCCCTTTATATAAAGGAACTACACATGCTCTCTGCCAATCCCTAGGTACCTTCCCCCTTTCATGCATTTATTAAACAAAAATACCAACCACTCTAACACTATATGCCCCCATGCTTTTAACACTTCTGTAATGATCCTGTCAGTTCCAGCTACTTTACCCCCTTTCATTCTACATAATGCCTCATGCACCTCCCCCCCCCCACTCACATCCTGCTCTTCTTCACTTCTAAAAGATGTTATACCTCCCTGGTCAGTGCATGCAATTACTGCCTCCCTTTCTTCATCAACATTTAACAGTTCCTCAAAATATTCCTGCTGTCTTCCCAATACCTCCAGCTCCCCATCTACAATCTCCTCTATTCTGTTTTTAACTGACAAATTCATTTGTTCCCTAGGCTTTCTTAACTTGTTTATCTCACTCCAAATTTTTTCCTATTCTCAGCAAAATATGACAGTGCCTCTTCCACTCTATCATTTGCTCTCCTTTTGCACTCTCACCATTCTCTTCACCTTTCTTTTATTCTCCATATACTCTGCCCTTCTTGTATCACTTCTGCTTTGTAAAAACCTCTCATAAGCTACCTTTTTCTCTTTTATCGCACTCTTAACCTTATCTTTCCACTAACCACTCCTCTTTTCTCCTACAACCACAAACTTCTGCCCCACATTCCAATACTGCATTTTTAAAACTATCCCATCCCTCTTCAACCCATTACCTCACTACCCATGTTTGCACTAGCCCACCTTTCTGCCAAAAGTTGCTTATGTCTCACCCTAACTTCCTCCTCCCTTAGTTTATAAGCTTTCACCTCTCTCTTACTTATTGTTGCCATTTTCCTTTTGTCCCATCTATCTCTTACTCTAACTGTACCTACAACTAGATAATGATCCGATATATCCATTGCCCCTCTATAAACGTATACATCCTGAAGCCTACCCATCAACCTTTTATCCACCAACACATAATCTAACAAACTACTTTCATTACATGCTATATCATATCTTGTATACTTATTTATCCTCGTTTTCATAAAATGTGTATTACTTATAATATTAATAATAGTTTATTAGGACATGATACATAGTTGTACAAGGTATTATAGTAGTTGGGTGTATATATCAAAAGCCCCTTGTATGCAGAGCATTATGGGCAGGCTTAAAATTAACTTAAGATATCTAAGCTATAACAGATTTAATGGTAACAGTTACAGTAAACAATTTACAATATCAAGTACAATTGAGTATTTTAAACAATGAAATTTGAACCTTTCAATTTTGAAGCATTATAGTTTTACAATTTTGTAACATTACAGTGAATAATATAACAAAATGATCAACTTACTATACGTATGTAGTCATACAATTTATGAATCAGATCTAATCAAATCAAATCAATGATCTGTAGTGCAGTAACAGTTCATATGGTCATTAGATGAGTTACAGTGCATTCAAGAGAATGGATTATTCTATTAGGTAATGCTATAAAAACATAGTTTGATAAGGTTTCTCTAATTATACAAGTGCATTATACATTTATGAAATAAAAGTTATTCAATATTTGCATTAGATTAGATATGAGAATTTATTGATCTTTGAGCATTTATTTATGGGGTCCTAAGGCTAGGGGAGTAACACAGTGAGTAATGATATTTTGAGGCAGTAGAAAGTGCTTTGTTAACTATGTAGGTAAAGTTAAATTAAGTACTGTGTACATATTTAGTTTTGGATGAGTAGGTGGTTTTAAAGAAGAGTCTTGAATTGATATACAGACAGTGTTTCTTTGGTAATCACTGGTAATGAATTCCAAATTTTTGGGCCTTTTATGTGCATTGAGTGTTTACATAATGTGAGACTGACACAGGGAACATCAAAGAGTGATCTGTGTCTTGTATTATGGTCGTGTGTTCTGTTAAGGTTGGTAAGGAAATGTCTGAGGGAAGGGTTTATATCTGAGTTTAGTGTTCTAATTGTGTAGTAGGCACAATAATAAGTATGGATGTTTTGTATGGTGAGTAAGTTTAGACTTTTGAATATTGGTGGAGTGTGCTGTCTGGAGTGGGAATTTATCATCATTCTGACTGCAGGCTTTTGCTGGGTAATTAATGGTCTGAGATGATTTATTGTTGTTGAGCCCCATGCCCCCAAACCTCTTTCTACACACAGTTCAATTAAAGGTTCCCCATTTTTATTTACCCCTGGCACCCCAAATTTACCTACTACTCTACAACATTTTTACTCACTTTAGCTAAAGTGCTCAGTAAACTTATTCCCCTATAATTTTTACAATCTCTTTTGTCCCCCCCTTTCCTTTTTGTAGAGGAACTATACATGATCTCTGCCAATCCCTAGGTACCTTCCCCTTTTTCATACATTTACTGAACAAAAATACCAAAAACTCCAAAACTATATCCCCATCTGCTTTTAACATTTCTGTCATGATCCCTTTATGTGATACCTGGAGTTTACCTGGAGAGAGTTCCGGGGGTCAACGCCCCCGCGGCCCGGTCTGTGACCAGGCCTCCTGGTGGATCAGAGCCTGATCAACCAGGCTGTTGCTGCTGGCTGCACGCAAACTAACGTACAAGCCACAGCCCGGCTGATCAGGAACTGACTTTAGGTGTTTGTCCAGTGCCAGCTTGAAGACTGCCAGGGGTCTGTTGGTAATCCCCCTTATGTGTGTTGGGAGGCAGTTGAACAGTCTCGGGCCCCTGACACTTATTGTATGGTCTCTTAACGTGTTAGTGACACCCCTGTTTTCATTGGGGGGATGGTGCATCGTCTGCCAAGTCTTTTGCTTTCGTAGTGAGTGATTTTCGTGTGCAAGTTCGGTACTAGTCCCTCTAGGATTTTCCAGGTGTATATAATCATGTATCTCTCCCGCCTGCGTTCCAGGGAATACAGGTTTAGGAACCTCAAGCGCTCCCAGTAATTGAGGTGTTTTATCTCCGTTATGCGCGCCGTGAAAGTTCTCTGTACATTTTCTAGGTCGGCAATTTCACCTGCCTTGAAAGGTGCTGTTAGTGTGCAGCAATATCTTTTAATCTCTCTTCTATTTCACTGCCACAACATTTACCATTTTCCTTTATGTATACAATACATTATTATCATTATAATCAAAAAGAAGCGCTAAGCCACAAGGGCTATACAGCGCTGCAGGGTAGGGAAGGAAGCAAGGGTATTGGGCGGCAGAAGTGGGGAGGGATGATCAGTAGGTTATAGAAAACACTGGGGCAGGGGATAGTGCGGGGGTAGAGGGTAGCAAGAGATTGAGGTAGAAAGGGCTGAAGGTATCAGAGTTTGTGAAGTAAGTCAGTTGTTGTCAAAAAGTCAATGAGAGAGTCCGGATGAAAGGTGGGTCCATCAGCGAGAAGGGAA